CAGCGCGCCTGCTCGTCAGCTTTTTCCATGGGGACACATAGGGTGCGAGGGCGTAGGAGGGGGGGGGGGTCTGTCCCAGACGGGACAAGAGCCTTCCGGGCCGGGGCGGCCGGGGGCAGCAGCACATTTGGGGTGGCATTGTCGGCTCCCGCTCCTTGCTTGCTCTGCTTTTGCATCGGGCGGACGCTGATCTCGCCGGGCGCGCGGAACACGACGTCGTCCTGCTGCTTTGTGAGGACGGAAGAAGGGATGTAGTGGACACCTTTGCACAGAAAAAAACTTAGGCCCGCCGATTTGAACTAGAGGAGATTCATATAAGGGATCGTCCAGAAAGTATGTCCGTTTTTCTCTATGGTTCATTCGACCGATTCTACGGGAGCTCGGCGCCTGCGAGACTCGGGGTAGGCCAACCCGCAGTGCACGCATGCGTTGCAGGCAAGATGTTGCCTACCCATCGGGCGCTATGAAAGCTTTGCGTAGGCTGGACTTGGTGGGCCTGTGCAACGGTGGCGAATGGCGGCCGTCCGTACTGTCTGGACGATCCTATGTTTATCGGGGCGCAGATTAATTGCGTCAAACTGTCTGGCGGCAGTGCGGCTCAAGTGGTCGGGTGTAAACATTATTCGTTTTGGATCGATGCGAAGGCCACGGTATGTCGGGCAAAGATAGGATCGCGCCAAGTGCAATACCAGTCTGCCGCACCGCGACATGTAGGTAGGGAGGGCGTGGACGGCGGCGGAGCAGGGCAGAACGATCACTGAAAACAGCGTAATAACGCATGTTATCAAGATGATAACGCGGTTGCACATTTCAGTTTTTTTGGAATATTTTCTAAACGAGCCCTGAGATTTAATTTTCGAAAGAACCATCGGATTTCCCGCAAAATGTCCGATCAATCAAGCCTACATGTGATAGGGTTCGGAGTTGAAATAATAATACGGAATAAGACGTGTTCTTAGAGAACCTTTGTTCAGAACCCTATCACATGTAGGCTCGATTGATCGGAAATTTTACGGGAAATTCAATGGTGCTTTCGAAAATTAAATGTCAGCGCTCGTTTAGAAAATATTCCACAAAAACTGAAATGTGCACCGCGTTATCATCTAGTGATGACATGCGTTAGTACGCTGTTTTCAGTGATGGCGGCGCCATCGGCGTCCTGGCGCAGCCTGGTGGACGGGCACTGGCGCCTCACGCTGCTGGTCATGCAGCTGACGGGCTTCACCTGCTGCGGCGGATGGCCGCCGCACTGGACGCGCTCCTCGGCGCGCCGCGCCATCGCGGCCGCCAGCGCGTTCGCCGTCACCAGGGCGCTCGCGTTGCACTACGTGGTGAGAATAACACGCCTGGAAAAAAAGGATTCGCTCGATGGATTACAATAGTTAAAGGAGGGATACCTCTATATGAAGCAATTTAGCTATTTTAAGTATTTGCGTTTTTGCAAAATGCCATAGTTTTTAGATATTTAGCCACTCTTTTGGGTAACTATATAATACAGCTAAAGATTAGGGTACGTCGTAAGAAAATGCTAGATACCTCGCTAAAAATTATGTGTAGTGCTAAAAATGTAGCTAAAGCTTTATGGCTAAATAATCATTTAGCCCTTGCTTAGCTATTAGTTTAGCTGTACAGCTAAAGAAAAATTCCCGTTGCACCAACTATGGGTCCTGGCGACGACGACGCGGCCCCCACTCGTCAAAAGTTGGTTTTATATCCAATCCGTTCAGGTCCACGTCGTTGGGGAGGACGCGAGCCGGTCGGCGACCGTGGGCAGGCAGTACGTCATCACGCTCCTCCTGGCTGGTTTCGTCGCCAAGAACCTCGGCTTACTGTTGACAATGGTAATAAAGTCAGCTGCCAGCTGCCCGGGGGCTCTAGACTAGCACCACCAGGATGCACGGTGGCACGGAAAAAATGTGCTAAGATGATAGCTGTATGGGACCAACAGCTATTTTAGGGATAAGAACGTGTACAACATGAGTAGCTAAAATAGCGCTACAGCCAAAATTTTAACTACACACTTTAATTATTAGCTAGATAGCTAATTTTTGCTATATAGCAAAATTTTTAGTTAAAAGCTAAATTCTTAGATAGCAGCTAAATTTTCAACTCTTAGCTAACTTTTTAGCTCATAGACAAATTTTTAGCTGAATAGGTAATTTTTAACTTACAGCTAAATTTTTAGCTAAACGGGTAACTTCAGTCCGTTAATAGGTTTTTTTTAGCTCAAAATGGCTAAATAATTAGCAGTTTTTTAGTTAGCTCGCTGCTCGTGCCGCAGGCGGCCATGCTCCACGAGTCGTGCGCCCTGGGACTGCTCGTCAGGGCCGCCTTGCTGCACGCGCACGCCTTCCCCGCACACAAGCACGAGGTCAGGGCGGGCGTCGTCATCGTCCTGGCCGTGTTCCCCGCCATCTTCACGACCTACTCCATCGCCTCCAACGTAAGGTCGCTCCGAAACACACTTGTTATTTGCTCTGCACCTCGCCATGAATCCGCGGCCCTTCAGACCGCGGCGTTTCCGTGTCGCGCAGTTGAGACGCGACTCGACCCTCGAGAACATCGTGTACGCCGTCAACGACGAGGTGCCGGTCCTGCTCTTCAGCATCGTCCAGGACTCGTTCAACCACGTGGTGTCCTCCAGCATCTACGTCCTGGAGGGCATCGCGGATGACGCCCAGGAGCGCGTGGCCGAGCCCGCGTGCATCGCGCAGAAGCAGCACGCCCAGGGCGGCGACGAAGACCGAGGAGTGCGCCTTTTGGGCAGGATCACCTGGGACTCCCGCGATCTTACGGCCCACCTCCGGAACCGCCCGCGGAGCTGGGATCACCGGGACCTGCGCGCGCTCAGGGTGCGGTACCAGTGCGTCGTCGACGCCGTCCTCGCCACCAACCGGCTGTACGGCCCGTTCAACACGCTGTCCAGCGTGATCCTGGCCATCACGTGTGCGGTGTGCCTGTACACCGGCTTGAGCATGTTGTACAGTAAGCACAGTCACTTGTGACGACATCGTCGGCATCGCCATTTAACAGGTGTATATTTGCAGTGATCATACCTTTTCGTAGCCTATCAGGTGATGGGGACCCTACTTTGGGGAATTGTGATCACCACCAAGTTCGCGTTCATCTGCATCATGGGAGAGCAGATGAGCGTTGAGGTGAGTCGGGACCACAATGAAAAAGATAAGATTAAAAGAACTTCTTTGAAAACGACTGTGCTTATGATCACTCTCCTCCTGTAGAATAGAAGGATTTTGGCCGCCTTGCAGACTGGACTGGCTAATCACCCAGACATGGATTTTCAAAGAAAAGGAGAAGTAGGTTCGCCTTACGTAATCACACACACACGCGCGGGATTTTCATTGTACACATACGTACTTTTTTTACTATTACAGATTTCCAGGTTCATTCATCAGATACAAATGCAAGATATCCGTGTGAAGGCTTTTGATTCCAGCAGTTATTACGATTTGACTACTTTGAAGAGAGTAAGTAGTGTGCTTTTGCAAAACTCCCATACAGATTCTTTTTTTTTTTCGAGATTTACATTTACATTACATAACGAGATTTTGTATGATTTACCCGGTCCTAGGCCGTCGCCTCGGTCGCCACCTTCATCATCGTTTTGATCCAATTCGCAGCCCTCGTGGCGCAGGCGGCCAGTGACGGCTCAGTACCGAAATGCAACTGCCAAAAATGCTAGGCTGCCAAAAATATGTTCTGTTTTGACAACATGTACCTTCTCTGAACGAAGAAACTATGAAATCTCTACATTTCACTCTGGAAACCGCGTTGTGAGGCAGTCTCACACCAAATAGTGTGGGACCCTCTGTGTCTGGTGATTGGGGTAAATGTATCATTACATGAAAACGACGAAACGATGAAGAGTCATCGCAAGCTTTTATCAAAGAAGTGTCGGAAACTTATTCTAACCTCG